AGAAATCATTGGTTTGAAGCACTGAGGTGGTAGGAATAAATGATTCATTGGCGGGTAAGCCTGAGAAAAATGAATATTGGAGTCTAGTGTACGGAAAAAGTAATAATCTGCATGGCACACATGTCTGAATATGTTTATATATATGTTGTTTTGTTCTTATTAACTTGCCATAATTCAAATCAGCTGCTCAATACACTTGTATATCACCTCTTTATCATAACAGCTGGCCAATGATGCTGGTGTCTAGCTTGATGATCTATATATCTCTTCTTTTTAATTTTCAACTGTTAGTTCATGGTACTGAATTATTCGTTTTAAACATCCTGCTTTTCTGTGTCTTTTACACGTGTATTAGTTTGTCAGTTGTTGTTTCTTTTAGATTAAATACTCTTGTTGTTTTTGTAGTACTAGCTTGTATAGTGTTGGAGTTACCCTTGATGGTAAATTGTTAATCACTTATAGGGTGCAGCTGAGGTGGTTTTTGCCAGAAGGAGTGATGCATACCAAGCACATAAAAGATACAACAATGTTCAGTTGGATGGTAAGCCAATGAAGATAGAAGTTGTTGCTCCCTCCACAGGCATGCCTTTATCAGCTCGTGTAGATGTTGGACGAGGAAGTGGAAGGAGGACAGTTGTCACTCTGTATGTAATATTAATTTCTTTCTTTCCCTCTCTTAGTATCTCTGGTTGTCTGTGTGACATCCATGCTTATTAACCGACTGTTGCAGTATGTACCGCCATTTTACTTTCAGAATAATTTGCACTGTGTTGGGTTGTCGGTAATAGCAAATGGTCCACATAATTGCTTTTAGCTTCTTAGTAGTGCTTTAGCCAAAGATTGCTTGTTAATTGATTCTCGTTCTTGCCCTATTATAATGACAGATCTGTGCCTTTTTCTTTCCTGATGATGTGAGAGTTATTTGCTTGTTTGTAGTTGAATTTTTATGCAGGGTGGTTGTTTTGGTTGGGGTTGTCTTATAGGAATATTGTTTTTCAAAAGTAGTACGTTTTATGGGTGAAATGTTGTCCAATATCTTTTTGGGCAGTTAAAGTGAACCTATGTGTTGTGCAGGCCTGGCTCAGCTCGTGGAAGGGGTGCTGCATCTGCTGCTGCTAATCGTGGTTCAAGGTGAGTTTCTGATGTGTACAGTTATTTATTCTCTGGATGTTGTTTAGTTACCGGTAGGGTAGGGGTGGTACATGTTTGTTCGGAGGCCGGCCCTAAGGTGATATACGAGTAGAATGGTGGGTTTTGCTTTAAGGCAATTTTAACAAATTTGATGATTATTAGATGTCAGACTGGAATGTTACACTCTATGCAGCCTAATTGGATGCATATTGTTTCATCTTGAGCTATTCCAATACATATCTTCTATTGTGGAGAGTTTGGACGGTGGACATCTGTTTGTTTGCAATTTTTAACATCTCACACCTGAAGTTGATGTTACACGTAGCTTACTTTTTTCTGTTAGTGTTATTTACATTGAAATGTTAAATGAAGAGATTCTTCTGGATCAGCTAATCAAATGTACTTGTGATGTGGAAGACTACAGATTTAAGATATAGCTTTGTGTTGAGTTGCCTTTTTGAGTGTTAGTTGTTTAGCATGTTCTCTTCTTCACGGCTGCATTGTCTATATTGAAGACAAATATACTATTAGGTAAAGTTGCATCAGATTGAAATTACAGTTATTTTGTGGTAATAAACTGATTAGCTGAAACCCTTGATAAAGGAAAAGATGGTTTTGGTTAAACAAATGGTTGGAGTTCCTAAAGTAATTGTCTTGTATCTTATTGTATAGTCAAAGGGGCCGTGGTGGTTTTGGTAATGCATCGGGGCGTTGGCGCAACCGTGGCCGTGGAGGTGGACGCGGGCGCGGTCGTGGCGGTAGGGTGAGGAAGAATGGCGTTGAAAAGTCAGCAGAAGAACTTGATAAAGAGCTGGAAAAGTATCATGCTACCGCAGATGCTATGCAGACCTAATGACGGTGTGTACTTTCAGGCCTTGTGGCATAAGCAAAAGAATTGGAAGAACATTTGCTGTAAAGAGTTTCCCGAATGTTTTAGTGATTTTTCTGATATCTGATAGATTTGGAGGTTACTGGTTTTGGTTTAATGGTTTGTAACATGACTATTGGAATGTCAATGCTGTAGTATATGACTATATAGTTGCGTTATTTTTGTTTTGTGACCAACCAGTTATTAACCATGGATCTGCAACTAACACGGAAGTATATGCGTGGTATGAATGCGAGAAAGTTGAACTGCCATGTATATAGTGTTCTCAGCGGAATCCGATTTCTATCTGTCCAAGCTCTAGGGGACGTAGTTACCTGGCACATGTGCTGGTGCAGCAGGTACATTGTGGAATTAGTTGATGTGCATGAAGTCGATCTGGACCTTATTTTAAAAAATAAGTTGAACTACATGTACTATAGTGTTCAATCTTTGTAGGGCGCCAATTTGGTTCGTGGCTTCTGTTCTGTTGCAATCTAGGTATCAGTGTACTTTAATCGTAGTTTTGATATTAGATATTCATTATCTATGTAATACTAGATCATTTGTTTTACACCCTAACTTGCTTAAATAATACTTGGTAGAAATTTCTCAATCTTTTTAAGTTGTGCGGGAAATAGCAATGTAGAATTTAATGTCGACAATTGTGGGATTAGTTTTGTAGAGCTGTGATGTAAATTGAACATCATATTCACTGTGCAGTGATTGGTTAGATTAGAAATACAGAGTTTTATGTTAACAAAAGTTTTATTTTTGTTGTGAATAGTGACGTACTAATTGAAAAATTGCCATGGTATAGATTTTTTTCAATAATCGGCCGAACCGAAACGATGAAAAGCTATACAGAAATCCATTTCACGCACCAGTTCAAGGTATAATTTTACTAAAATTGAAGATTATTACTGAGCTGAACTCTCTACCCGAACAGCCCATCTAAGGACCCAAAACATTAGGATATAATTCATAAATAGTCACTTTTCAACTTATGTAATTAAATAATAATCAACAACAACAACAACATACCCAGTATTACCCCACATCGTGAGGTCTGGGGAGGGTAATGTGTACGCAGACCTTACCCCTACCTTGTGAGGATAGAGAGGCTGTTTCCAATAGACCCTCAGCTTAAGAACGTATAAGCACCACATTAATGAAAATATAGACAAGAAGGGACAATACCAAAAAGCCATACAAAAGCAGAATAAAAACAACAAGATAGTAAAGTGATCAACAATGAAAGAAAACAACGGTTAGTTATAAAAACCTACTACCAATAGAAAGCAAGACTGCGTGTCAATACTACTTTTATGAACACTCTAAACTACCTACTCTACTACCTTAATCCTCGACCTTCATACCTTCCTATCAAGGGTCATGTCCTCGGTCAGCTAAAGCTGGGCCATGTCTTGCCTAATCACCTCTCCCCACCTTTTCTTAGGCCTACCTCTACCTCTCCGTAGGCCCTCCAATATCAACCTCTCACACCTCCTCACCGGGGCGTCTGTGCTCCTCCTCCTCACACGACCAAACCTCCTCAGCCGCGCTTCCCACATCTTGTCCTCAATAGGTGCCACACCCACCTTATCGCGAATAACCTCATTTCCGATCCTATCTAACCTGGTGTGCCCGCACATCCATCTCAACATCCTCACCTCTCTACTTTCATCTTCTGGACATGAGCGACCTTGACTGACCAACACTCAGCCCCATACAACATTGTTGGTCTGACCACCATTTTGTAGAACTTACCCTTAAGTTTCGGTGGCACCTTCTTGTCACACAAAACGCCAGAAGCGAGTCTCAATTTCATCCATCCCCCCCCTCCAATACGATGTGTGACATCTTCATCAATCTCCCCATCCACCTGAATAATAGACCCAAGGTGCTTAAAACTTCCTCTCCTAGGGATGACCTGCGAGTCCAGCCTCACCCCCCCTTCCTCTTCTTGAGTCTCACCACTGAACTTACACCCCAAGTACTCTGTCTTGGTCCTGTTCAACTTGAAACCTTTAGATTTCAAGGTCTGCCTCCATACTTCTAATTGCGCGTTCACACCGTCTCTCGTCTCGTCAATAAAAAAATATCATCTGCAAATAGCATGCACCACGACACCTCCTCTTGGACGTGGCGCGTCAGTACGTCCATCACTAGAGCAAACAAAAAAGGGCTAAGTGACGACTCCTGATGCAACCCCATCATAACCGAAAAATGGTCCGAGTCCCCACCCACTGTCCTCACTCGGGTCTTTACTCCATCATACATGTCCCTAATCAAATTAATACAGGCCACAAGAGCACCTCTAGCCTCCAAACATCTCCACAAAACTTCCCTTGGAACTTTATCGTACACCTTTTCTAAGTCGATGAACACCATATGCAAGTCCTTCTTTCTCTCCCTATATTGCTCCATCAATCTCCTAACAAGGTGAATGGCTTCTGTAGTCGAATACCCCGGCATAAACCTAAACTGGTTCTCGGAGATAGACACACACCTCCCCACCCTTAACTCTACCACTCTCTCCTAGACTTTCATAGTATGACTAAGCAGCTTGATACCCCGATAGTTATTGTAATTTTGGATATCACCCTTGTTCTTGTATACAGAAACCATCGTGCTCCACCTACACTCTTCGGGCATCTTCTTCGTTCTAAAAATGTCATTAAATAAACTAGTGAGCCACTCAAAGCCTGCGTTGCCCGCACTCTTCCAAAACTCCACCGGTATTTTATCCGGCCCGGTCGTTTTGCTCCTACTCATCTTACGCATAGTCCCCTCAACTTCATCAACTCTAATCCGCCTACAATACCCAAAATCACAACGACTTCCAGTACAATGCTCCAGTCCCCCTTCTCGTTTAAGAGACTATAGAAATATGTCTGCCATCTCCGACGAATAAGCCCCTCATCCAACAAAACTCTACCTTCTTCGTCCTTGATGCACTTCACTTGGTCCAAGTCACGCGCCTTCCTTTCTCGAGTCTTGTCTAGCCTGAACAACCTCTTTCCCCACTTCGGCCCTCGATTTCCTCATACAAACGACTAAAAGCTCCAGTCTTTGCCGCCGTAACTACTGGCTTTACCTCTTTCTTAGCCAACTTATAATGCTCCTTATTCGTCCTCTTGTCCTTCCCGTCTACACTTTTCACTAGATTCAGATACGCCGTTTTCTTGATTTTCACTTTTCCTTGCATCTCACCATTCCACCACCAGTCTCCCTTATCACCACCATAGTTATCCTTTGAGACCCCTAATACCTCTCTCGCGGCTTACCTAATACATTACGCAGTCGTGGTCCACATAGCGCTTGTGTCCCCACTACTCCTCCAAGCCCACACAGTCAACAACTTGACCCCCAACTCCCGTGCTTTAGCTTCCGTCAAGGCTCCCCACTTGATCCTATGTTTGATATACATCGCCCTCTTCCTCCTCTTCCTCGTGATCTCAAGGTCCATGACCAGGAGCCTATGAAGGGTCGAGAGGTTCTCACTCGGGATGACCTTGCAATCCGTGCAAAGACCTCTATCAGACTTCCTATAGAGTAAATAATCAATCTGAGTCTCGACAACATAACTACGGAAGGTGACCAAGGGTTCCCTCCTCTCCGGAAAATTCAAGTTTGCTATCACCAAATCAAATGCTCTAGCAAAGTCCAGCAGAGACGTTCCTCCTCCGTTTCTATCTCCAAAACCGAAGCCACCACGCACATCATTATACCCCCCAGACGTCGCTCCAATGTGGCCGTTGAAATCTCCTCATATGCAAAAGGTCCAACTACGAGCTTTTTAACTGCAACAACTTAAATATACGCTATTGGAGCTGGAATTACCGCGGCTGCTGGCACCAGACTTGCCCTCCAATGGATCCTCGTTAAGAGATTTAGATTGTACGCATTCTAATTACCAGACTCATAGAGCCCGATATTATTATTTATTGTCACTACCTCCCCGTGTCAGGATTGGATAATTTGTGCGCCTACTGCCTTCCATGGATGTGGTAGCCGTTTCTCAGGTTCCCTCTCCGGAATCGAACCCTACTTCTCGGTATACGAGATACCACGTACCATCTCATCCAAATCCTCCCAGAAACGCCTTTTGACTTCCTCATCCAAGCCTGCTTGGGGTGCGTACGCACTAATTATGTTCAAAGTAAAACCTCCAACAACTAGCTTAATATTCATTAGCTTGTCATTCACCCTCATAACCTCCACCACTAGTTCACGGAGGTTCTTATCAACTAAGATACCTACTCCGTTCCTGGCCCCCACCCTCCCAGAATACCACAGTTTGAAACTGCCTATATCCCGCGCCTTAAATTATATCCGTGTCTGATTGCGTGGAAATATATGAGAAATTATATTCGTTTTGAACAACATTGACTTAAAATCTTGAATCTGGAAATGTACGAATTCTGTCGGCCAAAATAATACAAGGAGTTCAATATTGATTTTCTTTAGTAATCTAACTATAATTCATTGCTCAAGTCAATTAAATTTAATTTTTTTTCTACCAAATAAATTAAACTTTCTTGAAAAAGGGAATGTAGTGTTTCCTTTTATAGATTTTCCAGTATTTGTTTTTGTAATGTGTATAAATCAATGTTTGAGAACAAAGTAAAAATTCGTCTATCTAACGATTAGGATACAGTAAATTAGGTGAACCAAATTTGTTGGACAAATGGAAAAAATTATACCCTTTAGAATTCTCAAATATTAAAGTATTAATGCAAGAAAAATTGCGACATGCATAGGTCACTTATGTGTCTTTCATCGTTCCTTTATTCCCTCTGTCATCATTTCATCACACATTTGATAAAAGAACAAAAAGTTCCTCTTCTTTATTATACAAAAAAAAAAAATGATGTTGAGAGCCTATGTTTTTTTTACATATTATTTCAAAGTAGCATCCAATGAGATTAATCTTAAGTGCACCATATTAAAGTAACTTTTGTATATATTTGAACTATTCATATGGATAAAGTAATATAATTTCTAAAACTTAGTGAGTGAAGCACTTGCAATTGGAGATTGGCCACTTAAGTCAATATCCTAACAAATCCAAAAATCTCCAACTAACTAAAGTTGCAATTCTTAACAAACTCCAAAAAGCGCACCAAATTCTAAAGCTACCTAGGTGTTGAAAAATGATAGAAACAAGTAACCATTTAGCCAATCAAAATGGAAGGGGTATGTGTCTTAATTGGAAGCAATTAATTACTTATTATATATAGAGGCGGAGCCGCAATGTAGGCTATGGTTTCGGCCGAATCCTAGCTTTGGTTCAATTCATATATTTATTTTAAATTTTTTATTAAATATATATAAATTATTAATTTAGAATCCAATAACTTAAAAAATTAAAATCTCGAATTCATAAATTTTAAATTCTAACTTCGCCTCAGATTATATATATAATAATGCAAAAGTAGAAAAATCAATGAGTACCGCTTAATATAGTACGGTTGTCCCCAAATCCTAAATGGTACTTAGTAGTACACTTTGATACAAATCAAGAACAATGTAGAAGCACTTTTAGTGTGCTACCTAAGGATAAGGTTTTATACATAATATATTAAATAGACAATAGTATGAATGAGTAGTTCTTTAAACTCCCTGGCCCCTACTCCATTACAACCTCCC